TGTCGTATTTCCACAGATGTTTGAAACGAATTTGAGTATGCTTATGGTGGAGAGTGAACTATCAATATTCATTAGCACCCGTACACTTATACAGATCGCTTCAAGTTCGCTCGCTAACCGTACAGCGGGGTTAATATCCGTATTTCCATTTTTCATGTACTCTAGGGTCTGATAGCCAACAACGGGTAGGCATACAAAAATCAGACAGCAAACTGCAAAACAGATTATTACTCACGCACTCACTAATAAGGCACACCACAATGGAGCGAATGTCTTCTGGAGAAGTGCACAAAGTTTCAAAACAGTGAGCATCTGCTGACAGAGCCATTGAACGGAGTCAATGCTTCACAATATCTACCATTCTGATCTTTTGACAAAGAACTACCTGGATACAACACATAATTTCCTATCATTCAAGATTGACCCATTTCTCGCATTTCTCTTTCGCTTTGGCCTGCAATTGCTTGTCTTTCTCCCATTCACAAGGAATGGGACTTCTCTAGGCTCCGTCCTTTGACGTGAGCGTTCTTCACAGACATATGATACGGCCCCTGGAGAGAAAGATCATGGAAGCGCGGGAGATATACCGCATCAAGCCAGAAATAAATGCGAAAGAAGAGCTACGTGACCTTCTGAGGCTTTTGGCATGATCAGTGAGCTCCTTTCCCTCAGGATTGGCGTCTCATTTTCATTCCCGAGCCACCCCGCCGCCGCCGTCTCCTTTCTGGTATGTGTCGATGCAACATGTCCTTTGTCTTGTAGTTGTTGATTTGTAATTATTGTAATTTTAAGGTTGGTCTGATGATGGCATTATTGCCGAAAGCTCACCAATAAATATAAGACCAAGAGCTTCAAGAACATCTTATCCTACTATATATAATTCGCTAAGTATGTCTGTGTGTGTGTGGTGTGTGTGTGTGTTTGACACGAAATTCATAGCTCGAGTCACAGTAACGATAGCGCCATGGTTCTTACATATGTTATAGGGGGTGGGATGGGGACACAAGTGGTACGTGATAGGAACTGATAACGACTGATAATAGCTGATAAGAGGGGCTAGAAAGCGAGCATCGCCAATTTCGTTTTGTCGTTCATATTGGTACTAGAGCGTCTATACTTACAAGTGTTATGTGGGGCGGTCCCGGGACATTGGTGGTACATGATTGGAAGCGATAGCAACTGATAATGGCTGATAAGATGTTCGGTGCTCTCAAGGTTCAAGCACACGTCTCTGGGATTGCGAAAAGTGGAAGTTCAAGAACTGTGCACACTCAGAGGATTGGGGCAATCACCTAGAAGAGGATGGCTCACAACGATGAAGCACATCGCTTTTGATCTCAGGATCTGCCGTCACTCCTTCCAGAAAATCTTGGGAAGCAATCATTATTTGAAGAGGTTACCGACTCTTTCTATGCTGGTTTATTGGAGCAACCCGAATAGATTCAACTGATAAAATGCAAAAAGTTTCTGCACGAGCTCGAGGTCCCTCTACGGATTGGGTTGATGAGAAAGAAAAAACTAAATTCTTTACGACCACCAGAATCAGAGGCAGTTGTTGCCGAAATGCGAGAGCAGGTCTCCGAGATAACGTCTAGTTTCCAACAGAATTTCTCCCGAACATGTGGTAGTTTGTGATGGTGTATCATCGAAAGGTGCAGCTCTAATAGAGTTCATCACCCTCAAATGTCAAAAATTTAGTCGAAGATCTTGCAAATGACTTTGGTAAGGTACGGTATGTTGTTCTGGATTTAGGAGCATTTTACTCAGTGATCGTTTGCTCTTCAATGAAGCTGGGCTCCCTAATACGCGTTCAAATCGACGGAAGCCATCCTGGGCGCTGTCTTCCGGCACTGCGCGCAAGCCGCAAAGAATATTGACCTTCTTCCTCTAAGGTCCTTGAACCGATGGACTGTTCTGTGTAAGGATATTTTAGAGCATGACCCCATAAAACTTCTCCAGCTTGGTGGGTGCTCTGAAGTTAGCGCTTCAAAGGAGGTTGGCAACCTGCGCACTGCTGATTTTGTCGTTGGACGTCAGAAGGCCTCTCTCAAAGCAGAGTCGTCAAATTCAAGCACATTCTGCACAAGTGATCAAATGGCTTAACCCTATCTTTATGTGAAGTCGCTTTCCTGATCGAGTCTCTTTCTTAGCTTTTACACACAAAACATGACATCCTATACTTTTCGGAAAAAAAGGTCTAAAAGCCTCTAAAAGGTGTACAAAATCAATTATTTATAAGCCTTGGTTTAGCAAGGAGCCTAGAGAATAAAGAAAACAAGTCAGATATATTTCAGTCATTTATTCGAAGCATTATGCACAACTAATCCTCTTCCACATTTCCACAATTATTATATACAGACACGTAGGAGAAAACGAAGAAAGACACATTGAAAGTAACGCCGAAAGAGAACTGAAGGTCTAGCAGATTATATCAAGCGAAATGATTGCACAATTTTTGGCAGTGTAAAATATGAAGACTCACAAAATATAACTAACAAATAAGACAACGAGAATCCACAAGAACCACTAGTGACGAGTTTCCGGCGAAAGGGAAATCGTTCTACATATACCACCTCATAACAATAGGAAATTTACCATACAACCAATTTTTGGTCAGTACCGACTTTGTAACATGATCGTCGGCTTCTTTCAAATGTACTGCAAACTAGATTTGGAAAAAGGAACTATTAGAAACCTCGTGGAGGCTTACGAAAGCCAACTAGGTGACATGACGACTTCCGATGCAATGAGTTTGGACTGAATGAGCGGTGAAAGCGCATATGGAGAAAGTACTACAGCGAAGAGGTACTGTGGAGAACAAATGATTGGCGAGAGAACGAACGGTGATAGCACCAAAGGTGATCCAGCCATAGGGTTATAAATGAGAGGGTTAAGTACCAGAGGTGAGAGGATAATAGGAGTGAAAACCTGAGGCGAAAGAATGAGTGGCGAAAGTACAAGCGGTGAAAGAACGATTGGATTGAACACACCAGGGACGAGAATCAGCGGATGGAGCACTAGTGGTGAGAGGACAATTGGTGAGAACACCAGCGGATTGACAATCAGCGGCGACAAGACACGAGGTGAGAGCACCAACGGGACGAACACCCAAGGTGAGAGAATAATCGGACCGAGCACGGCAGGTGAGAGTGTGATAGGTGAGAGCACGAGTGGTGAGAGCACGACCCAAGCATTGGATAATGTTGCACTTTGAAATGTGAGCCACGTCAGTATAATCGGCGACAACACAATGTCCCTCTTACGTACTTGAAACTTCTTTGCTTCCGCCATCAAACGAATGCTAAATTGAAAAACATTTCGGGTTGGTACCCAAGGAATAACAATAACATAGTTACAACATCCTCAATAATGCCTTTGTTGGTTGTGGACTAGAAAACTATATCATGAACTCATAGACGTACTCTTTTTCAATGAGGTGGTGTGGATCGTCGTGCATCCGAAGAAGTTTGTGGAGTCGTTGGTGTGTATCTGACTTATTATACGGTGAGTTCGGCCCGTAGACTACATCTAACTGCTTGGTTGTGAGGAAAGCTATATCCCTGCTTATCAAGGTCTTCTCGCTGAAACAGTTACTTGAAAAATGACAAGAACAAGACAAAAAGCCTCTTTCTTCACCGCATTTCGGTATGCAAATTTTATTACGAAAATTGAGCGCTTTGGTCAACGTTTCTTGGTAGAGAAGGTTCAATTTAGGAGCACGGCATGGCCCAGTTAGCACAATGACGACACCGCGGGAAATTTGATTGCATTGCAGACTATGTCGGACTATGCGAGATTATGCTTTCCGCACCCATTACTCTCATTTCTTTTCGCGCATGCCTAATTCATTTTGCATTTATTGATGGAAGAACGCTTAGCATAGCTACAAACGTGGTAGCCCATAGAATGGCACGTATGCTTTATTGCAGGAGGACTTTTAACAATAAGTCTTACGAAGTCTTCAGTTTGATTAATTTTTCGCTTCCTCTTTCTTTGTGATTATGAAGATTAAAATAGTAGTGGTGGTAGTAGATACGGAACCTGGAGGGTTAAATATATATGTTTCGATCGAAACACTACGGTAAACTTGCTTTTGAGGTCCATTGCAGCTGGGTCTGACATACAGGGGGGCCAATAAAAAAAAGACATTTTGTCTCCAGACTCAAATGGATTTAATCACACTTTGCTCAGCTCAAAGCGTGTGCTCCCAACTTAGAATTGAAGAGCGCATTTCATTTCATAAGAAAATCTTCATAGTGGCCATCTACGTGGACGGCATCAGAAAATTTGCCCCGGAAACATGGTGCTCTGGTCGAGCTCAATGGGGTTCTCGACTGATCGTGTACCGTTACGACGGGTTCCGAAGGGCGGGTTCCGAGGGGGTTTGCATAGTTAGAGCTAATGTCCCTAGGAAACTATCCCACGTTGAATCGATCCAAGAAATTATGTAAGAGCTTCAGGCTGAAGCAGTTACTGTAGGCCTCCCTGAGCTCGACGACGGTGACAGATGACGTCATATTCTGAAGACGGTGAGGGTAGTGAAGGAGGGCCTGCGTGTACTTATAGAGGGACATTTAGGGAATATTTTGCTGAGGAACTTCCGTCAACGACGGCAATCTCTGCGAAGAAAAAAAGGCCGAAGTGCGACATGGGCAAAATGTCTTTTTTTTTGGCCCCCCTGTATATTGCTTTTTCTTTATTGTTATTTTAGGTCTTTTGATCGGATTCCAGTGTGCCCTGCGTAGTTTCTGCTCACTGAAAATTACTGATCTAGTTCAGAATCAGTCATGATCATTGTGGAGCAACTCGTCTAGACGATAGATGAGCATGATACTACCAAACGCGGCGATAAACTGGTATACAGGGTTGCCCAAAAAAAGACACTTCACACCACGTTTCAAAACGGTTTCAGCCACACTTCCCTTGATCAAACTGAATGCTCCTGACTGGAAAGTGTAGATAATTTTTCAGTCTATCGATGAACATCATAATAGCTTTCTGCACCGACGATATCAGAACATTTTACCATGGGAACGTTGCGCACGGTTCGAGCTCAACGTGGTCCTCGACGGAGCGTGGACCAATAATACCTTATCTTAAACTCTGGCTGAAAGGGGTTTCGCACATTCAGAGCTACTCTCTTTAAAAAGCTATTCATAAAGAACCGGCTGAAAAAACTGTTTAGCTGCTTCAGGATAGAGCAATTACGGAAGACCCCCTCTGCTCGATGGCGATTGCAGATGACGTCATATTCTGAAGACGACGAGGGCAGCGAACACGGGATTGCACCTGCGTGTGGAGGGACATTTCAGCAATATTTTCTCAATAGAATTCCAATAACCACGGCAACGTGTGCGAGTGGAAGTTTCTTGCTATGCGCTAAGAGTAAAGTGTCTCTTTTTTACCCACCCTTGTATACGTCCGCCGTCTTAGCCGCCGCCCATTCTTGGGCGAAGATTAATGAGAAAGCGAGTGGGTCTCCTTTTCGCGTTTTTTTTCACGAATTTCTTTTCTTTTTTTCGTAATTGACATACCATTGAGCGCCTTCACATCCCCTATAAGCCCCGTAAACTTTCGTAATCGCTACTTCTAAAACAACAACCCCATTCAAATGGATAGGATAACAGCGATTGATGATGATTGCGTGGAAAGACGTCTAGACGAGTTTTGCGAGCGCAACCGCATAAATGCGATAACGTAATGTAACTACCTACGTATTCGATCAGCTACCCATTCTATCGCTATCTTATCCGCAGCGTCGTAATCCACGTTACGTGAAGGCGAGTGCTAGGTATCTCGTCCGCAAGTCCACATAGCCTTCATCACTTTGTAAGGCTCTAGCACGATTGTCGCTTACTTTCAAGCCGCGACAATGGCACATCTGTGATAATTCGTGGCTGTTCTATCCCACCACGGAACTTCTTTGACACGACCGCAACTGGGGTTGCTACTTCAAAATGCAATTTTCCAATGTCCGACCGCTGTTTCTATTATTCCATCACCTTGAGAAGAAAACTGTTACAACAAGCAAAACGTGTCGTGAGGCACAAGTGAAAAGCTTCAGCAAAATATGTTGGACTAGTTCTGCGCATGCATCAATGTGATGTATGTCAACTAAGCAAAAAAATTGCCCCTTCAAATCGAAACCTGTTATTTATGGGGAGGCTCGATTCATATTTACCTAATTTCTTCTTCGAAGGCTTTTTTGCAACATCTTGTTAAAAAATTTCCAAGAATTTTTGGGTGGAATTATAATTAGGTAGTGTAGCGTCCAGTGAATGGCTTCTCCTTTTTTCTTCGTAAACTGTCCGTAGATTTGGTGTGAAACCCATTTTGTATAAGTCGATGTGGTGGCTGTTTTCTCTAATTGTTCCTGTGCGCGTATTTACTCGAATCATAAGACTAGGTTGTGAATGAAAGCACCATTTTTATTCACTGGCTATTTATTTTTCACATGACATTTTCGGAGGGAAAAAATGGTCATTTCGCATACCGACATCATTATTGGGTCGGACCTATACATGTTTCATGATAAGTAACATTCACTTAACTATGTAAACAGTGACCTGTCGACAACATTCTATATTTTGACCTGATTTCTACCTCCTCTTTCCCACCAAATCCATAAAAATACGTAAAGCAGCTCACCAGTGCCAGGAGCGCTTAAAAATTATAGTACGCGAATATTTTTACGAACCTGTGATTTTGTGTAGAGCCTGTCGAGCTCTTCGAATGTTTCGATTTTTCGTTTTTCGGTGTTGCCAAGGATTTCTGTGACGTTTTTCTTGGTAAAGTAAAGAGGTGTGCCATCAGGTCCGCGTGTTTGCTTCTCTCGTATCTCCTCTTGTTTCTTCTCTGTCATATCAATGGCATCAGTTACACCTTGAAAACAAAATTTTTCCTCCCACTTTTTAAGTTCTTCTTCATTCTTTGATGGCTACACCTATGATACTATTTGAATGTAACAACGTACCAGCTGCCTCGACGATAAAGTCAAGCCAGGCTTCTTGGTCTTTGTTGGGCAATGCTTTGACCAAATTTGGAATCGACATTTTTTTCTCAACGTCGCTTCCTTCTTCATGAATTGAGAACAGTGACGGCGAAAGCAGATTGAACTGAAAAACGAATCTTCCCATCGCCTCGCTTGTGGCTAACACTTTAACGTTCTCATTGAAGGCAAGTTTTATGGTAAAATTGGTGTCTAAGAGCTTTCAATAATGAAGGTGGAGATTGGGCCGAAAGCGAAAAAAAGAACAAAAGAAACTACTGAAATCACCCAAATTAAGGGCTGAAACGTTCTGCAAGGTCGGGTGTGGTACGATAGAGATTTAGAGTGCGCAGTGAAGACAGGAAACGTGTTAGGGCTCAAGGTGCGAGAGGGGCCCAAAGAAGCGGCTGTTGCAGACGCCTCCAAAAGCTACCGGCAACGCTCGGTAAGGGCATTGGTTAGGCCCTAACTTTCTGTCACGATCTTTCGAGCCTACTCAGTGGCGCACAGGTGACGCTCGCAAACAGCTCCATCCTTACAAGCAAATGGATTACTCCAGCCGTCTTATTCCTTCAATAATAATCTAACTAAGAGAATAATCCAACATAGTTCGAGTGTGGTAGGCAGTGTACCTAACACCTTAAGACTTTACAAAGTTGACATTCTTCATCTTCAAACTCTTACGAATGAACGAGTGAACGTATTCAAGGTAGACTACTATGATGCAACACGAAGAATGTTGTATAATCGCTCATTCACTCACTAGATCGTCCGTGTCTTGTTCAGGTACCACGCTCAAAAATCTAGGTGAAAATATCTTGAGCGTCTTCTTGTCGAAATTAGTCACATTTTTGCCAGCTGCTACCAAGGCAATCTGAAATAGTTTCATGTTGCATTAGTCACATTTTTGCGAGCTGCTACCAAATCTATCTGAAATAGGCTTCATGTTGCTTTATGAGTCCGGCCCTTATTTCGCACGAAGAACTAGTGCAGGTGGAACAAGACAGGTCCACGGGGATATACAAAAATAGAAAAGAAGATGCGTATGAGGCCCGGAAGGGACGGCTCCGAGAACTGTGTCACGCTTTTTTCTTTGAGTTTTCTTCCTAACACATAAACAAGATCCATCAACAAGTAAGTAACCGTTGCTAACTTATAATGCGGTGACAGTAGTGGTCTTTTCCAGAACGGAAGAGCACTGTGTCAAAAAATCGGCGCTAGAGTATATTCTCCCCAGGAAGCGGAGTCAAGCGTGCGCTGAGGAATCCTCGACGGGAGGATCGCATATAGGGCGGGTGATAAGAAGAGGTCGGGTCGTATCGATGCAGTGGGATCGTTACTATCGGAGGACAAACATATGCCATGAAAGGCCGGGGATTTCCAATAACGATGTTATTCTGTCACATGAAATTTTTGTGGTTTCAAGTGGTCCGCTTTGGATTCCAGTGATGGAATAACTCTGAATTGAGAAAGTTATAATCATTTGATATGGTGTTTTGATCATTTCATATTTTGTTGAGACCATTTGATGAAGCAACGGTACATTGCTTGACAGAAAGGGAAATGATTCATGAGCGCATCCTAACATAGCCAATGTAGCAAATGGTTCAAGATCGGAAGGAAGCTTCTGGCAAAAGTTACTGTATCGATCAGATAAATTCCACGGCCAAACTAGATTTGTTTCTTAGTCCTAGAAAGGATAGATCTCACGAAAACAATGCAGTATAGCCAAATGATGAAGATGATACAAGTTAAGAATATCTTGATAGATGTTAATAGATTTGCATTGAGAAAAAATTCAATGATTGCGTCCGGGAGCGGATATATCCTTCGGTTTACCTGTATGAGCGATTCCGTTTGTGGTCAATCCGTCCCGTGGGTGTGAGATTTTCTTGGATTTTGTGGCATCGTTACGGTATCAAGGTGCGCCTTCTGTTCGGAACAGGATTGCACTCCGGGGCATGAGTGGTGCACTGGTCGTTGCCCGATTTCCGGTATGAATTGTAGTGAATGATTTCTTCGTTTTGGCTTTGGCGTTCTTGGCTGCAAAGGAGGTAAGCAAACCAGCCCTTTTGGCGTTTCGGCTGGGACCGTATGCTGAATGTTGGGGAGGGGATGGGGTCCCCAACGGTCGACGGTTTACTTCAACTCGGTTGGTACGATAGGAGAGTACTGACGCAAGTGGTGCAGCTGGTCCAGCAGCTCCGCCAGAAGGCTGGTTTGCTCACCCAGGACTAAGCCTTGGAGAGGGACGGCAGTACGGAGCCCGTCTCTCTCTTTCCCCTGTCCAATAAGTCAAGGCGCTTAGTTCTGAGGGAAGGCACCAAATTGTGGCGGTTCTAAGGACCGAGTTGAAGTGGTCTGTCCACCGTCGCGGGAGCTTCCATCCTCCCCAACACTCAGCATACGGTCCCAGCCGAAGCGCCAAAAGGGCTGGTTTGCTTACGTCGTGCCAGATGGCGACTGTTGCTCTTGTTCGCAAGTGATGTCAGCAGTCGTTTGTTCTTCGGTGGAGTAGCATATGATGGAAACTTTGGCTCCTAGCAGACACGAATAGCATCCTTCAATACTCGAACTCGTTATGGAACATTGTCCTTTGTTCTGTACAGAAA